TGGTATGTATAACTGTTTTTGTGTATTTTATACAGGTTGTTTTTTGGTGAAAAGCACTGTTAGCTTTCTCCCTACAAAACAACTTATAAAGAGGGGAGGTGTTACATACAGCACTGATGTTACCTGTCTGTCATGGGTTTGGAGGGAAAGTTCCATCCTATGGGGAGTGGAAGGCGGGACATCAGGAGGAGGGGCTGTACTGTATAAATATGTGATGCCTGTGTGAGGAGATGCTGAGAGACACTGGGTTGTGACGAAGCAGCAGCTGGGAAGAAGAAGCTGTTGTGGGGGTCTGTGTGTCAGACAGGGTACTTCTGTGTGTCAGAGTACCAACCTGATAGGTTCAGGTGTCTGTTGGTTAGCCAGAACTGATAGGTTCAGGGTCTGTGCTTTAAGTTAAGGGTTCTGTGTGAACCACACTGTATGCTTGTATGAGTGAGAATAAGCCACGTTACTTTATTTTATTCACCTGATTGTTTATTTTTCCCTGTTTGTATTTAAATAAACCTTATTCTTTTTATTGTTTGAAAATCCATCCCTGGTCTGTGTGACTTCTTATAGGGAATGGTTGGTGGCAGCTTAGTGTAACTGTGTGACATATCCCAGTAGGTCTGGGTTTGTCACATTGATTTTTTTTTTTTTTGATTTTTAAACAATAAAAAGAATAAGGTTTATTTTAAATACACACAGGGAAAAATAAACAATCAGGTGAATAGGATAAAGTAACGTGGCTTATTCTCACTCATACAAGCATACAGTTTGGTTCACCCAGAACCCTTAACTTGAAGCACAGACCCTGAACCTATCAGTTCTGGCTAACCAACAGACACCTGAACCTATCAGGTTGGTACTCTGACACACAGAAGTACCCTGTCTGACACACAGACTCCCACAACAGCTTCTTCTTCCCAGCTGCTGCTTCGTCACATCCCAGTGTCTCACAGTGTCTCTCTAGTGTCTTCTCACCACACAGGCATCACATATTTATACAGTACAGCCCCTCCTCCTGATGTCCCGCCTTCCACTCCCCATAGGATGGAACTTTCCCTCCAAACCCATGACAGACAGGTAACATCAGTGCTGTCTGTAACAGTGCTCATCCCTGTTTCCAAGCTGCAGAGCCAGTGTTTTGTCTGTAGACAGTTTCTATGGTCACGTGGCCAGCGCAACTCAGGCACAGAACGCTGTTACCTTCACACAGTGGTGTTACCTATTTATCTATTTGTATTTGCATGCTTTCAAACCACTAGGTTGGCAGGAGATGGCACAAGCGACGGGAGCTCACTCCATCACGTGGATTCGATCTTATGACTGCTGGTCTTCTGACCTTGCAACACAGAGGCTCCTGCAGTTTAACCCACAGCACCATAATGTCCCTTTCTATGTGACTTACACACACCTAAATGTGGCTCAACTGAGAGAAAAAGCCTAAGCTAGAAGGCTTTGAGGCCTAGTTAGGCCTAGCTCTGCCTAGCTTCCTATTCAGAAAGAAAGCTCCCAGCTAGCACTGGGATACGAACAGGATTTTAGTAGATTCCATAAGGTTCTGTATAGATTAGTTAGGCTGATATTTCTATCTTGCCAATACTCTGTTTGGTAGATAACATCAGAAAAAATGCATTTCTCAAGCTAGGTTTGTGTATCCAGAGATGAAAAGCAATAATGGAGATAAGAAGTAACAATTCTGATCAGCTCTATTTTCCAAATCCAACAGAAGTTATTACTGGAGCTTCTCTACCCCTAAATCATCTACACAGTACAATATTGGAGATGCTTGGAAGAGTTCTTTCAACAGTTTCCTTTGGAGTGACAACTCTAGCTATTGTTCTACAGCAACTTTTTGGAGACAAAGTCAAGCCTTTAACATAGCCCTCCAAGTGCACAGTTTCAAACACTGCAATGTTACAGAATAGAAAATTGGGAGTTAGACAATCTAGACAAGGAGATTATGAAAAAAATGTACAGTAGGACCACAGTATCCATGGGGGTATGGATTTCAAGCACACACAGCCCTAGATCTAATTCCAGCTTTCTCAAAATAGCAGCAGACTCCATCTGAAATGGCATCGTGAGCAAAACCATGGTGATGTGGAAACTGGACCATGTAATCTTTTCCCTACAGAAGCAGCAGAAGAGACAAGATGAAGGAAGGGATAAGATATCTAATTTCTTTGTTCTCTCTCTTCCTCTGTAATATGAGTGAGACCGCTTACACACTAATTAAAGCATTTGTCAGCCACTTTAGTTACATAGGAGATGTGCCAGTGACCTCACAAGCATGCCACGCCACTCAAAACTGATAAAAGAAAGGGAAAAGAACAAAGGTGAAGACACATCCTTCCACCTGCAGCCTGGTTAGCAAGCTCTGCCTGGGGACAAAAATGGCAGTACAAATACTTTATTTTAGACAGTGAGTCAAAAACAGATTATCATGACCAGAGCAGAAAAAAAAGAAAAAGGCCAACAAGACTCATCAACAAGTGAAAACTCTTAAAACACCGAGGGTAGCATTCATCCCAAACTCCAATCAGAAAGGCAACTTATACCGTCCAGGCTACAGACTGAAGCCTCACTCTAGAATACAACAGAAGGAGACTCTTCTTTCAGTTTGTTTTTTTCTAAAAGTACAGTTCTGACAAGAGAACGCTACTGATAAGAGAACATCAACAGAGGAAGAATGAACTGCACCACTTGAGCACTATCACAAGAGTAATTTATTTGTTCTGTATGCAAAATAATAGAAAGCAGCAAATGAACTTAGTAAGAAATTTTCATTTCATTGACACTAAAAACATTGACAAGACTACTTACAGCCAGAGTAATTTACAGCTAAAAGTCCAAGGAGTCAACACCTTTATATAGCCAAGGGCCTCTAGACATACACCTATACTAAATGTAACATACTGGTCTTCTTGAAGCTACAGAAAACTGCCAGGTTTTGACAACTCATAACTGATATTGTTCTAGATGTTTCTTCATTAAAATCTTTTCCCTTGTATAAACTGCCCTGAGCTGAACTTGATCTGCTTAGGTAACACACTGTGCTAGAACAACAATGTCAGGTGCCTCTCCACCTTCTAAATAAAAGATAATCTAAAGACCTATGGTCCAAAAATAATGGTTTGTATAATTTCACCTTGGAGAATCTTCTCTTACCTGGCATATTTTTAAGAAGCTTTGCATTGCACATGTGTCCCTTCCATATGTCTGTCAGAATATATTCCATCCGTTTTGCCCTCCACAGGAAGTTGAACACTCTCAGGTAATGGCTCATACACTCTCGTGTAAACACCTACAAGTAAGATCAGTTCACAGACTTAGAGGTTAGGAAACAACCGATAATTTTTAGTCCCTGTGCATTTCCACTTTCATTGCTTTAAGAACCTTTCTGAGTCAGACTGGTTACTTCAAAAGAAATTAGAGTTGTAGAGACTGACAGTACAACCTTTAAACATCCTCCTGATAAGCAGTATCAGACTTAACAGAAAGTTTGTTTTTTTTCTCTGTGTGGGCCTCTGTGCCACAACAAATATATGGAAAATAACCATGGAACATCTTAGGTTCACTGCCCAGTGTTGCTAGTTTAATAATCTCAGCATTTAATTATTTACTTTACTTACATCCTGCCTTTCTCCTAGAGAAGTAACTCAAGGCAGTTTCCGACAGTTAAAATGTATATGTTTAACGTTATACAAAATCAAGATAATATTATTAAAATACGATTAAAGATTAAAAACATTAAAACATGATTAATTTACAACAAATTTAACCAAATTTGTTTTAAAACAAAACCCTACAATTTATATTCTATGACTCTTGGAAGAGTTAGATGCAGTTCTACATGCTCATTACACCATTTACTGCTTCAACCTTAATTTATTTACATTTAATCAATATCTATCTATATCTATATCTATATCTATATCTATATCTATATCTATATCTATCTATCTATCTATCTATCTATCTATCTATCTATCTATCTATCTATCTATCTATCTATCTATCTATCTATAAAATAGAGCAGCTGCTGTAAGACAGTCCCAAATCCTATTCCAACCAATAATGTTAAAGGCAAGGGGATGCCAGAGTAGAGACTCTTTATGTCCTTCCCTTCTTTATTTTCCAATATCATCACTAGAAATCATTGAAGGTTTAAAAATCTAATTTGACCAAATATGCCTCTACCTTTTGATTCATGGTTCAGAGGCAGCTGGGAGTAAAAGGGCTTAAAACCAGTTGAAAGAACTTCCCTTCCACATTGGAAGGGTCTACTCATAGTCTAGACGGGCAGGATAAAAATCAAATAAATAAATAAATAAATAAATAAATAAACAAACAAACAAACAAACAAACAGACAGACAGACAGATAGATAGCTAGCTTACTTTTTACTGAAAATTAAAATAAAAAGCACTTACTAAAATTAGATACGTATTTTAGATTTGTTCCACTTGATGACTGTATTAATTTTAGAAAAAGAAGTACTACTGGATTTATTTTCATCTGCCTCCATTAATAAGACTAGGAACTGCACAGCAGCTATTGCCCACCCATCACTTACTAGCTCTGTATTTCTTTAGGTTTATCAAAAATCTGTGGAAAATCTTAAAGAGAAAGCTCCTTCGGATCCATACATCATTTAAACTATTTCCAGTTTTCTATATCTCATTCATCCTCCAAACACATTACTTTATATGTGAGGACCTGAACCTGAGGGAGTGACCTGACCAGAACCAAGACCACTCATTAAGTCTGGAGTGAAAGTAACTTTGAATCACCAGTCAGCACCCACTCATTTTGTTTAGCTGATCGCCAGAAGTTTAAATTCTAATATTTACATTTGTCGTGTGGGTCTTGTTTAACTAACATGAATATTTGTTAATGAATATTATATTACATACAACAGCACAAATGTTTAAAGGAATCACTTTCACTTCATTTCCTTTCTGAACCTAAAAAGTTATTTTTCCACAAAGGAAGATGACATGATTATTAATATGCAAAAGATTATTATTAATATGTAAAGAAGCAGCTACACAGCTCTGCAATGATGCAAAATATATTAGAAGAAGGGGACAACATGACTGGTAGGTTAACGAATTGGAAAATAGAGCTATTACTTTCCTTCCAGAAAACCATGCATGGCAATGACCTTTGGGTCAAGCTCTTACTTTTTGACATCTTATTTAGAAATCAATGTTATTCTTTATATTTAGTAAGTGTTTTGAACTGTAGTGCTATTTTCTCGTAGTTTAATGAATATTGCCCAATATATTTTATTTAAAGAAAACAATAAGCTCCCTTAAAATACATCTTACTGCCCTTGTAAATTATGGCAAATTAGTTGCTGCAGTTTCAGAATAATGGATGAAAATGAAAATCCATTTATTAAGTACTTTCTAAACTCTCCAAAAGAACAAATGAATTATTTATCTCAAATAATGAAAGTCTTAAAATATAGCATTTTAACACTCATTAATAATTTAGGATAATTGAGAGTTTGGCTGCATTTTTAAATGCAGTGGGTACATCCAAGATACAAAGCAGTATCTTTAAATGTGCACTTCTAAAAGTACAAAGGCTATTTTAATAGCAACATATTTAGTGAGCTAAGTGGGTGGTTGCTGAAGGGGGAGGGTGAAAACTGACAAACTGGAAGACAGATCCTTACTGTTGCAATTGGCCCATCAACATGGTAGTCTAAGCTGAAAACATCCCAACCTGTATCGCCAGGAGACACCTTTAAAAGAAAAAAGAAATGTGCAAGCATTTAACTAAAGTTTATAAATTATAATTCATTAGGATCATTGGTGATTTCTGGATCAACACACAAGCAGTGGGAGTGAGACCAAGCTTGGCTTCTTACAGACTCAGTGATACACATAGTTTATTGACACAAAGGGAAGAGCCAGTCCTAGAGAAAAAAGCTCTCACTGACTGGGGAATTCATTAGTCAGGGAAACAGGGAGGGGTGTACACAAAACCAGCCAAGTGTCAGCCCTCTAAATGCTGGACAGAATCAAGCAGCATCTTGCCAGATCCTTGAAACGATCAGAATAAATTCAGTGGCGCTGTAAATTTAGTCCACAATCCAACACAGAGTCAGGCACACTTAAAACTATCGGGAAACAGCTGATGTATGTACCAGCTGTTTCACATCATGGCCCCAATTCTTGGCACTGTGCACAAACATGTGTATATTTCCGCAATGGAAGAGAGCTCATTATCAAATGAAAAAATATTAAGGACTATATTGGCAGATTTTTAAAAATCTAGTTTCCCAGGCACAGATTATTGTGTTTTGGAACACTGAATTTGGAATGTTTTAAAAAAAAACCACACACATTTAAACATGCATTCTCATAAAACAACAAAATGGCTCCCAAGTACCTCCAGAAGTCTGACATCCAAGCGCTTCAGAATCTCAGGGTTATCAAACTGTGCATTAGTTGCCCTGACAGCTGTTTCAAGAATTCCTGTCAGATTATGCTGATACAAAGTAGTAGCTGGCCTTGCAAGCTCTGGCCTATTATGACAAATATAAAATAAATGCATTCATTTCCTTATTTATTTATTTTATTTTCATTATGTATTTTCAATATACTTTTAGCCCTCTTTCTAATGAACAGTTCTTTCTAATTATACACTGGCACCAATGTCTGTGTATTTCTAGGTTTTCATCATGAAAAACCACTGCTACCTGATGATTTGTTTAAATATCAGGCTCTCAGACTGCCACACAACTACGGCTTTGTAGTTTAAGGTAAACAAAGAGCTGGATCTGTGAGAAGAGAAGTTTCTCCCTCATATTCAGGGGGACTCAAAAGGTAGTCAATTTCCTGTGACTGGATTAAGAACATTCCAGAGTTGTCTACTAGTCTTCTATTTGAAATTATTGTGGGAGGGGTTGGAATTCTACCCATTATTAAAACAAATGGTTTAAGATGCACAATGTTTAAGAACAGGTTCTGACCCTAGCAGAGGCAAATTAGCGACAGGCTGATGGGTCAGCCAGAAAGACAGCTCAAGGAAGGTTAAGTAAAGCCTGAGGAAACCGTAACAGCAGCAATGGCTGAGAGAAGACTTCAAGAAAGATTGGAACCATTCAAGAAAACAGTCTGCAAGGGAGTGGGAAATTCCTGAGGCAATCTCTGAGGCAGCACTACTGGTAGTTGCTGCACCAAAGACTGAAAAAGTAGTCTCATGGAAACCCTTTTTTATCCTTAAACCACATCTGGAAGAAGACAGTTGCCTGTCTTCAGAGACAAGTCAGTCAACTAGCTGGGGTTAGTGGAGCCTTAGAGCACAATCCTAACTGGCCTGAATCACAGAGGGCCTACCAAGCCAACCCAATGCTGAAAATTACTTAGGAATATGCTATTCCTGGCTTAACGCTAGACTAGCACTGTGGCTGTGTCCCTAGACTGTGGGAAGCTTCTCCCCCTCTCTTTTCTCGTGCCTCTTCTGTCAGCAGATCTTCGGCAGCAGATCCTTGAGTTAGGACTCCACTGTAATGGGGCAACTGGCTAAAGTGTGATGAGAGAGAACTATTGTTTTAATATAGCAACTTAAAGCTAACATCAGTATTAATCACAGCAACCCCTTAAAAAGAGTACTGAAAACAATAGATTGGGCTTGTCATGCTTATTATATTTATTAAAATATATATCGATATTTAAATTATTTAAAATATTTATAATCTTATTGTCCGTTTGACTTTAAAATCCTAGCATCTGTCTGCCTAAGCCCAGGTATTAGATAACCAGGAGACAAAATAGCTCCTCTTGTTATGGTGGCAGCAGAACTGGAGCAAGACAAAGAGTCTCTGCTTAGGTATAGTTATCCATAATTAACAAGGAGACATTCCCCATGTATCCATTAGATCAGATTAGCAATACTGTGGTTTCCCTCACAACAAATCAACAAAACTTGTAACAGTGTCAGGATCCACCTTCACAATTCTAAAGGTAGATTTCTATACTAAAAATGTCGCAACATGTATTTGTTTTAATATTAGAATGCTCAGCCAGGGAGCAGTGTTCAGTGTGACTCTGCAACAGTGTCACATGCCCATTCATAAAATTTTAATAACAACCTTTTTCTACTGCACAGAAAAAAGTTGCTGGAATCCTGCCTTCGGATCCTTAAAAGGTACTTTGCTTATATATTTGAAGAATGCTCTTCAGACTAAACGCTGCAATCAGACTTCCAAGAACCTTAAATTTTAAAAACAGTTTTAAGAATATATCCGGTTTCTAGCAAGTATCTTAGGTGCTTAGCTTAAATTTGGTCAAAAAAGACTGAACAATTGGGTTTTTGCAAATTAAAATTCAAGTTAATATTCTTAGCAAATTGAAAACTAAGTCGTTGCTGTTGCTCTACAAATTAGCAGATTTAAAGAGAGAACTAGTAGATAATAATTTTGTATTGTGATGCATGATATCAATTTGTAATCTATTGGCTAGAATCCTATTACTTATGTATGTTGGCATTAATCACAGTGGTGAATTTCCAGTAGTTAAGAAGTCAGGGTTTGGTGAATGGCAAGAAATATAAGCCTCAGCTTCTCAAATAGTGAAATTTCAGTGTTGACTTAGGCTATTCAATTTACACTGATGTGCGTAAGTACTAAGAGTATGGTATATGCTTATTATTATTAAAACTAAACTTTATTACACTCTCTTACTGTTCTTACTGGGCCCTATAAAAATATCTTACTCTCAGTCCTACAAGATTCTGTAATTATGCCAGCAGAAGTCCACCACAGAATCCTGCCCAACAGAATGTGCAAGGTTTATTTCTAGGTAAACATGCACAAAACAGCATTTTTAATATTGATATGGAGAACTACTCTGTTCCACATGGAATCAAAGGACCAATTATGGCCTAATATAAAAACAGAAACACACTATGAGCTAACCCAATATTCAATCAAGAACAGTGTGACAAACAGTAAAATGTGTTTTAATAGAACATTTTGTTCTCGGATGATGGGCTTAACAAACCTGTGTTTTATATTTCAAACAATCTTCTGTTCCAGTACAAACATTTAAATTGAGTAGAATTACAATCTGCATTTACTTACTTTAGCAAATCCATTAGGTGCCTAATAAAATCTCCTTGACCAAGAAGTAAGTAGCGTCTCATAGCCTGCATGTGCTCCAGCAAATTGTACTTTCTATTGAGGACATCTAACAGATATTTGCTGGTCTCAAAATAGGCAGCATCTATTTTTCCCTGAAATGCATTTTCCAAATCTGTGAACATTTCAGCAGCTGTTGTAAGAAAAACCAGAAGTTACCAAGACTGAAAATGTGTTTTCATTTTCTTTTTTAATGCAAGAACAATACAATTAATAAACCTCACTCCCTTACAGTTATTTGACCTGACCTCTGTGTATACAGTCAGTGCTTGAAAAGGACTGGAACAGTAAGCTTATGTACTAATAGTGACTTATATGCAGACTTTTGGAGTTAAATTTCTTTATGCTTAATTAACTAAAACATCCCGACAATACAAAGGCTACCTATACCCAAAATGTCTAAATCAATATTTTGTAATTTGAAACTGCTACATGCATCTGTTGAAACTGTAACTCTACGCATAATATATTCCATAGAGTAAGGTAGTGAATCTCAGTTCCAAATAACCATGAGATCATATAATACGCTGATAATAAGCACAAATGCAAATTTAGTACTAATGGTATATTGCAGATTGAAGAGAAAAAAACATTGTAACAAATTCCAGTAATGTTAGTAATTCTGTATAGCTAGCATTTAATAAGGCACACTAACAGTAGCTAACATGTACCTTTAGTTTATTGGGCAATAATTTATTCTTATTTGAACCCTGGCACAGAGATTATATGAAAACAAAGCTGTTTTTACTGAAGGTGTCATAAAGAAAATTTTGTTCACATATGTTACTAAATTAATTGAGATTTGCCCCCTGGTGTATACAGTTCTACAGCCTAGGAACACATATATCCTGAGCAGGACCCAGATGGAAACTGATGTCCTGTCCCAGAAAGCCTGCCCACCATGGAGAAGTCAGCTGCTCTGACGGCTGTATACAACCAGTTTTGCAGGAAGGGGGCTCCTTTTACTCTGAAAGAGGAAATTTACATTTTGGGGTGCCTCCTAGACTCAAAAAGCACAGGAAACAATGGGAGCTAACTTCTTACTAGCTTAGCTCTGTAAGCCTGTTACAACCCCACCTAAAGGCCATGGCTCTTGCTTTGATTACTCGTGCCCTGGTTCACATCCAGACAGACTACTGGAATGTGCTCTATGTAGTGCTCTCACCATGAAAGACTGTGTGGAAGTTTATGTTCACACAGAATGAAATTAACTAGATTGGGGAGTGGGTGTTGATGTCAAGCATTTAGAGCACATTATATCATTTCTGTAGTACTTGCTCAGCTGAAAGTACTGCTACGACTTTTTCAAGTCACCGGAAGGACTGCCTTTGCTTATATAAACCTGTTTCTTAAAAGGCGTCTTGGAGGTCCTGCTCATATGATTGCCATTAAGATCAGTTCTGACAATGGACATAAGAGAATAGGTCCCTTCCGATAACCCCATTCCCCTTGGAATGCTTGACTGAATGACACCAGCTCCCTCCCTGTTTGCTTTTATGCAGGCTTTATGGGCGTTTTCCTTTCTCCCCTCCCCCCGTCCCTTATTTTTTAACTGAAATGATTTGGATTTTAATGGTAACATGTTTTTGATTGTTATGGCTGAACTGTTACATGGTGTTGCTTTTAATTAATAATTTTACCTACTGATGTTATGGCTGATATCCTGTTGGAATTTCTCTATGCAGAATGGAAGACATGGAAATGGCTGCAGATACTTGGTAGGGTGTCATTTGCATTCCTTGCATTCCAACACCTTGCTGAATATCCATGAGCGCTTCTCTAGCTTTTGTGCTATGCACTGAAAATACAACAGGATACTGGCCTATTTGACTAGAGATACTGAAAGCTACCTTGACAGAACTTTATTCTGAAAAGTGCATGTGTATCCTTGAAAATGCATGACAATAAAGTCTGTATAGGTCACTTAGAAGAGTCCATATCAAACCGAGTGCCAACCAGATTCACTACTTGAGATGCTAAGTGTCACAATACAATAGGGAAAATAGCCATCCACATTCACACTCCACTTGGGCATGCCCGCATGGGAACATCCTATCCTTTGGGTTGCACAAAAATCTAACGTTCAGAAAACAATCCAGAGTCTTACCTCCCCACTATCTGCAAGCCTCAATAGAAGGTACAGTGCAACACAAGTATTCTAAACACAAATATTACTTCTTCACCCATACAGATTATATATTCTCCACATATCACACAATCCATGAAGCTCTCGAGACAATATCAAAAGTTCTTTGAAGTTACCATGTAGCATGAAAATATAGTGTTCTTAGTATATACAGCTGAAATTGTATTCTGAAAAAAAATGCTTGGACTTTCCACAGTATGGTATGCAAAGTAAAAGCTACTTTGATGCTTCTGTAGTAACACGATATTCAATGCTATATAACAGGTTTTCTAGTAATGTACATTAGACTTTACAGAGAATAGTGCTACAGTCATGTTCTTTAAATTTCATACCATCCTTTGGAGATTCTGTAGATTTGGCCACAGCTATCATCTTTGATGATGGACTTTGGTCATGACAAACCTGATGCAAGAAATTTATGGATTTTCCTATTAGGAGAACCTAAACATAGATACAAGGTAATTTTAATGTTACTGTTGCAAAACTTTTAAACGAGGAGAAAATATTTTCACCAAGCATGTTTCTCCTACTAAGATAAAGCCTAGTCTACATACAAACTAGCATACAGTAATGAGTACATATCACTTGCTTTCACATTCCTTAGCATTTTCAAAGCCAGTCAAGTCACACACAGGAAACTTGCAATACATTCCTACTATATTTCTTTAGACTTAACAGCATATTTGAAATATTCAGTTACATAGAAGCAAATGGCTTACAAGCTGCTGATGCTCAGCACAGACTTGATGGAGGTCCTGACACAGCACCCAAGAGCGCTGAACTGGTGGGGTTTGGACACATAAGGATGACAAAATCATTAGGACTGTCCAATTAGTTGTCATCATTTGTTTCTTATTTACTACACTGCTGTACTGCACCTTTGTGGCAACATCACTACAGATGCCAGGAATCAAGTGTGCACTGGATCACGGTCTAAAGAACTAGAAATTTTCCACTCCACACTTCTACTTCAGTTATTGATGGATGCAAATACCAAGTTTAACAAAATCAGAAAAAGACTCATTTCTTGTCATACCTTTCTTGAATGATCCATCGTAATAAAAGAAGGAATCATTGATTTTCTCAATGTGTATTTGTCATGCCACAGCCGATCTGTTTTTACTGTGGGATCTGAAGCTACAAAGAACTGCAGACAGAAGAAGAAACATGATTTTTAAGGATGCCTAAGTATCACATATATATAAATCACATGCCTTTTACCACACATAATATATAAACTACAGAGTGATCACTACAATAATGAGCAAAAACCCTATTTGTGTATGCATAACGTAAAATTACATCCATGTAAATATGCTAGGACTAGTCAGGAACAGGAAATACTGTAGTGCAATTTAATTGCACAATCATTTAGGTGATTACCATTGTGACCGTTCCACAATAGATCGGCGAAAGTATTTTGTGGGCAGTACAGTGGTGCCTCGCTTAACGAGGATAATCCGTTCCAGCGAAATCGCTGTAGAACAAAATCCTCATTAAGCGAAATAAAAAATCCCATTGAAACGCATTGAAAACCCAGTCAATGCATTCCAATGGGCTGAATAACTCACCCTCCAGCGAAGATTCTCCATAGAGACGGCCATTTTCAGTGCCTGTAAAGCGAGGAATCCGTCCAAAAACCCAGCGGGGAGCCATTTTACACAGCGGGCGGCCATTTCGAAGCCACCGATCAGCTGTTTTAAAAACATCGTCTAGTGAAAAATTGGTTCCCAAAGCAGGGAAACGATCTTTGGGAAACAAATTTTGCCTATTAAAACATCGTTTTGCGATCGCAAGTGATCACAAAACAGTCATTGTATAGCAGTTTTGTCGTTTAACGAGGTAATCGTTAAGCAAGGCACCACTGTACATCATGGTATCATTGTAGATACTGCAGGCATAATGTTGAGTTACATCCACAAAGTTATACAATAGAATTTTGCCCACTGTTTTATTTCTTTATCAGAAAGGTTCCCATAGGGTTCTATAAACCCACGTTTCTAGTTATTGTTAGGAAATGATTGTGAATCTATAAATCAGTGACCAGAATCCTATTAGTTATGGCCTGCCAGAGTAACTCATTTAGTGCACATCTCAGTAGCAAATTGCCACAAGTTGAAAAGTACAATAAGCATTTGCTATTGGTGTGCCAAATCATGTGATTTTTGATGCAACAAAAAATGTCAGTGCTAATTTCCTAACTTCCAGCGATTTGACCTGAGAGTTAAGCTGACTGAGTTACATTGGAGTAAACACATAATAGGATTCCAGCCAGTGTATGTTGCTATAAAAACTCTGTTTAGGAAAGATAAGCTACTTAGAACAAAAAGGAATGTAGGCTTTTTCAAAGTCTCTTTGAACATCGGAACACGGAGGCTGGAAACAGATGTCATCGTAGTGAAGAGTAGAGCCAATAGAATCAATAGGACTTCATTTATGGATTAAACCCAGTGGGAATGGGAATCGGTCACATGGCAATATGCTTCCTCCCTTACTCCCCACTTTTCACTACAGAGACTATAACCTCTGTACTAGGAGATATGTTGTTTCTTCTAAAATCCACGTGATTGCATGAACCAGAATTTCGTTTGAACAGAGAGCTTGGATAACAGTATATCCCACCTTTAAATAGGTGTTGTGCCTCCCAGTTCTTTTATGTGTAGCCAAAGGCACATGCAAGCCTGAGACCAGGTCCTCATCTGCATACCATGAAGAGAGGCACGGGGAAAGAGTATGGGCTAGTCGGCTCTGAACAGACTCTAAAACTAGAGGCAAAGTTCTAAAAAACACATCAACATCACTGGAGTATAGTATTAATTCACGGATATTTTTAAAACTTCAAAACAATTCATAACATTTATTATAACAGTTTCCCTTAGTAACTGACAGACAGCCTTAATTGCAGTATTAATGAGAAAAATATAATGTTTGAATCTATCAGGCAATTCAATCATTGTTGGAAGTTATAAAGGTTCTCATTATACAGTCAGAACAAAGTAAAGTGCCATTCCATATTTAGAAAACATCTGGTAGAAAATAACAGAGAATGAGAAGAATTCATCCCAAGAAAAAGAGGTATTGTGAAGGATGAAGGAAATCAAGGTGAGAACATAAATTGCAAGATGATTTTTAAAAAATTCACTTTAACCATTCAAGGTTCTTTAAGTTTTGTTATTATACCCAACAGAGGGGAAAAAAACTGCAGGAAAAATGGGAAACCATGACACAAACTAATTGGTGAACAAATGCCAAGGCCTGTCAACCAACCATTTTCTTATGAAGAAATTACGAGCTTGTTTACAAAGGCAATCAGAATCCTAGAGGATAACTGTCATAATGGGAAGGGCCACACATCTGCATTTGCCCTTTCTTTTTTTCTCTTTTGCAAATGCACTAAATGACACGCTTATTATAGGGGACATGGTCTATGTACTATATTAATTCAAGCAGAACCTTCTTTGAGTTTTCACTAAAAGGTATAAAAATTATACACACACAAATTCTGTTCTCAATAGAAATGGAAGCCTCTTCTTCCTAGCGTAGACGCCTCTTAATTGTATATTATTGTCTACAGCACACAGTCAAATCTGCAAATGCTTAGGGGGAAAATCCCTCATTTAATTAATCCAAAATAGAAAATGGAAAGTGGAAATAACCCATTTATATAACTTACTTCATGGTATGTATCTTCCAGTTCACCATCATAAATCCAACGATAGAGAAAATTCAAGATAGGATGGGACACAAGGCCAAGAATATGCTGCACCAAGGATCTCATGTAAGGGTCACCTGTTTTACTGTAAGCATGAACAGCTGATGCAAGTTCACCACCTTTTCTTCCTGAATAAATATATCAGATGAAGAATTTCAACACACATTCTGTTTCACCAACTTAAAAAGCAAGTGCTATATCTGCAGTTTTGCTAAGCTTGAAATAGGCAACCTGGATGGGCAGCTTTGGTGGACACAAAAGCCAAATTTCTGCCCCCCAAAGTGCACAAAGGATGCATCAAGCTCAGAAACGGTCAAAAATGGTGTGTGTGTGTGTGGGGAGGAATCAAAGCCAAAAACGACACATATTCAACATCTAACATTTTCTTTTCTCAACACCTAGGGGTGGTCAATCGGGAAAGCTCCACAAAAGTCCGAGCAGTAGCCTTAGGAAGGCCACATGTGGCCCACAGTTTTCACATTTCTCATCAAAAACCAATTTCATTCCAAAGCAATTGACTGGTCTTTGCAGAATTGGGATGGGATGAGGTATTGTTAATTTGTTGGAAATCGAAATGATTTTGATATCCTCGTGGCAACTTATTCCTAGGGACAGTAGTGGACATGAAGCACTCCTCAGCCTTTCAGTTGTGATCAGGAGCTAGCTACAAGATAAGTACACTGTATTCCCTTCCCCAGAAGATTTTGTCAAGGGAAAGAAACAGTAGTGAGGCACCTACTGGCTATCGCCCCGACAAAGAGCTACAACTGCTGACTTGACAAGCTGGACTCTCTACTTCCTAATATGGCCACTATATTGTAAAAATATAGGTGTATTTTACTCTGGCAGGAACCAATTCTTTTGGGTATCTGGAGTGACAGAGAGTATTAAAACAGCCCAACATAAGAATTTTGAAGTTTATATTACAAAGTGTTTATTAAAAGATAACAATTTTTTTTTTTGCAGAACAGGAAATTACAGGAGTCATTTAGACTCAAATCATGTCAACTCAACAACAGGATTACCTTTCTAGGTTGCAAATCCTAACAAGCTCAAGAAAGAGGATCAAGAGGTTGCACTGTCAAGGAAAGTTAGGGAAAGTTTGACCTGCAAGCCTACCCTGGACTTACCCTTGCTTAATAATATGTGATGATAGGTGCCTGGAAACATTTTGGTTACTTGAGGTGCCTTCTCACAATCTTGTGGACACATTGTACACAGAGAGACAAGTTCGTGCTCAGGAAAGCATCGAAAGTTACCATCCTGCTGTTATCATGTCAAGCATTTTAGCTTAAAGTTTTGCTTCCCTTCATTTCTTATCTGTTCCCTTCCCCAGAGGAAGCAGACAAATTATTTTTGCTTTGACCATCCTTTTCATTGGAAAGCAATTACTGTGCCTGTATGCAGCAGCCTGGGTTGTGCGCAGCGTGCTCCTGGATTTATCTCTGAGCCTGGGTGTCCAGGTTGCGGCGGTGGCCAGGAGTGCCTTGGCACAGTTAAAGCTAGAGTACCAGCTGTGCCTGCTTCTGGAGAGAGCTGATGTAACCACAGTGACATATGCCCTAGTTACAGCTCAACTGGATTACCGTAACAGACTCTACATGGGACTGCCTTTGGAAAGTGTTCGGAAGATCCAATTACAGCTGCCAAGGACACCCCATTACAGAAGCTCCACTGGCTGCCAATCCATTTCTGGGCACAATTCAAAGTGATAGTTTTAACCTATAAAGCCCTAAATATCTTGGACCCAAGATATCTAAAAGAAGGCATCTCCTTCTATGAGCCTGCCCAGGCTTTAAAATAATCAGGGGAGGCCTTTCTCTATGTCCCGCCACCCTCACAGATTCACTTGGTGGGGACATGGGAGAGGGCCTTTTCCATCAATGCCAAGACTCTGGAACTCCCTCCCACAAGAAACTAGGCTGTCCTTCCACAAGCAGTCAAAGTCCTTTATCTTCAGTCAGGCTTTCTCTTAATCACTGGTAGTCTGAGAGGGGTTTTTAAATGGATTGTTGTGCTCTGTTGTTTTAAATGTGTTTTAGTGTTGATTTTATTACCGTTTTTAATGTAATACTTGTTTAATCCTTTTTAAATATTTGTATATCTACTTTTTTAGTTTCTACATATTGTTTTTAATGATGTAAGCTGCCTTGGGTTCTTTTTAATGAGAAAGGTGGGATAAAACTGTTTTGAATAGATAAATAAATAAATAGCAGGTGAGGCGCTCCTCTGGTCAACAATTTCTCTGAAAGGGGCTCTGTTACACTGATCTTTAAAGCACAGAAGTTTAAAGACAAGAATATATTAATATAATAAGATATATATATATATAATTAGAAAAGACAGACCAAGGGTGAACTAATGTTTCAGTCTTTTCAAACTTTATCTGTTAGTGGGAACAGCTGTGGAAGGGAGTCCTTGAAAGTTTCCAACCCGGGAAATGTCAGAATTGACTATATGAGCAACCACAATGTACGTACAGCCAGACTATTTGGGTTACAATCTGCAGCAAAGTTAAAAGATACACTGAAGGATAATTCAGCTCTCTTTATATTCTTTGGCAACTGCAGGTAAATTGTCCTTGGTATCATCAAATTGTGGTTTTATTTTCTGGACCAACTGAACAATTGTTGTCATATGCTGTCAAGTTGGAACTGAATTACAGTTACCCTAATAGGGCTCTCAAGGTTAGAATATGGTAAATAACGTAGTGGGACCCTCATGTATTATAAGTACAATATTAACATTCACTTTTGTTTTCAGTGCAGTTTTAAATCATCTACTAACAGACCTTGACAGTGATCAACAAGTGCAGCAAGTGTTTTCAATCGTATCTTAGGATCATATGTCCAGACTAAAAGGCGACGAAGAGTTAAACTGCTTTCAATCCCCAAATTTACACCTTGATCGTCTTCTACCTGCAACTGAGAAGATTAAGAAGTGAAAAGTGGTATATTTAACACAGTCCTACATTTTCCTTAATACATTCTTTGCCTTTCTTGTGCCCAAAACAGTTTTACATTTAAAAATGTGTAGGATAAATTTTCAAAGAATTCTATTCAGGAAAGAATATGAACAACAAATAGCAAGTGCAAGTACTACATTTTTAAAATCAACTAGAAAAGGACACAGAAAGAAATCTTATCTCTAGTAAGATTAACTCTTGCAGTGTTTCTGCAAATGAAGTGTCTTTTAACTCAATTCTGTATGCATTTGCTCTTAATTAACTGTTAGGAAGGTATCGTACAGCAGACTTTAAAATAATTGGCAAAATATACTAATTCATGTTTCACTAGTGCATTTGTTTATGTATAATTAACTGAATAATCTGTGGTACATCCATAGCCTGAAAAGGGAGTATGTGGAAAGTGGTAAAATCATGCTATTTGCATTCCTAGGGTAATCTGCATTTACTAAAGACAGGTGATTATTTCTCTTAACAGATGCCAACTATCATATTGTTTTAATGCAGTGGAATGAAGTAAGGAACTAAAACATTTACCTGTGAGTGTAAAACAGATAATAATCTGTAATATTCTTTGAGTTCCTGATTTAAGGCAGCACAAAAACTCTATAAAACAAAAACAGGAAACCATGATGTCTATGTGCATCAGCCATGAAGGGTTTTTACTTTCATGCATTACAAAACGCCTACTTCCACCAAGTTCTACCCGTGTCACTCGCGCGAGTCAGGAGGTGAGGCTGAGGAGCCTAACGCCGAGGGAGGCCCGGAAAGAAAAGACAAGAAATCGGGCCTTCTCGGAGGTGGCTCCTTGCCTCTGGAATAACCTTCCCCCTGACATTCGCGCGGCTCCCTCACTGGTTTTTTTAAAAATCAATTTAAAACATTCATGTTTCTGCAGGCTTTCCCCTCAGCCAATTCCTGATCTTCCCTCTTTTTTCCTCTCTCCTAGTGTTTGTCCCATCTTGTCCAAAGTTTCTCCCCTTATTTAAAATTGTTTTAATTATATTGTATTACGCTTGTTGTAAGCCGCCTAGAGTGGTCTTAAGTGACTAGATAGGCGGGATATAAATAAAATAAATAAATAAATAAAATAAATACGTTTAACTAGAAATCTGGCACATAAACTGCAATGCTGGATATAAAGAAATGTTCTGAATCCCTCAAAAATGCTGCTCATGCTTTAAAATAGCTATACTGCATATTGACGACTACATTAAAAAGTCACAACAGCCAGAAGGCCCAGAAAACATTGCAACTTCCATTTTATTATTTAAATCCAACACCAAACCACAATCTTGGAAAACTAGGGAAGGAAGGAAGGAGGTAGTTCATGCATTATAAAGAAGTGGTAGCAAAATGCAGAAATAGCTCTCCTTGACATTTCTCCTCTCCACTGTACTGCTGCAAGATCCAGCAGTAAATTCCACTTCACAATGTTACCATAGAAGCAAAGGAAAGCCACAGCACCAGAGATTTACATCTCTCTTTTCTACACTGAAAAATTCTACAGTTAACATTTCTACAATAGGCTAAGCCTATACATGCTGCATAAGAACAAGGCTCAGAATACTGCATTCAGCACTGCTTAGAATATCCGCCACCCACAAGAGGAGCAAAGAAAGCAGTGTTCAAGGTAAACAGCAAAGAATTTTAAAAACAAAGGATGCAAAGTTAAAGAATCAAGTCCCTCTGAAAATCCACGTGACATAAGACAACACAATCATTTGTGGAAAACCTTTTTGAGGGTTGACAATACACAGCAATCACATAGAATTAGATTTTTTCTTCTTCTCATGTATAACCTTGGGGTAGTGGTTTTATATAAATTTAGGAGGAATTAGGCAGAAGAAAACACCTCCCATTTTAATCTGTCAGGCATTCAGGAGCCTCAGTGTTTCACTGCCAACCATCTTGACAGGCTCACATTGGTAAATACACAATGATTGCTCTCTGGGTATCAAAGAGAAGGGCTTAGAAGAACATGACAAGGGTCGAGCAAGCAGCCTGGCATCATTTTCCATGAGTCACGCAAAGTCTCTTCACCAGAAGAGAGCTTTTCTCTAGAGGCTAATAACGTCCACATCAAGTGCAGTGCATTCATACAATTTTACAACATGAATTAAAAATTTGAGCTTTATTACACATGGGCCCAGGCATACCATAATAGTATGGATGTAACTGTCTTTATCTTTTAAATTGATGAAGTAGGAAGAGAGAAATGGCTCAGAAAATCAAACGAAAACAAGCTCTTTATACTTCCGGTCAGTAAAACAGCAGTTTTCCTGTTCCATAACAACAGACATGGCATACTGGTAGTATAACCTATCAAGCTGAAAATCAAGGGGTCTCAAAGCCTTCTCAGTTTTACCCACATACCTGACCTACTAATCCAAATGCACAATCCATGCTCCTTTGGTCAGTATACTTCCTTATTTTATTATGCAGCCAACCCAACTCGGCAAGCCGACTAGTAGTATCTCGGAGCGACTTGGAAAGGCCCACCTAAAACAATGAAGGACAAATATTGAGTGCGTTGTGGTAACTGTTATTGATTAAAACCTTTACCATAAATCAGGTCTCCAAAAGCAAGTTTTTCTATCTCTTTGGATCTGGCAAGGTGTTAATTATGGGCTATATAATTCCATAGAAAGAACAGAACTCAAGCATTGTTCCAGGAGGGAGCTGCGCAAGTCTGTTTCAATCCGTAGAATACGAACAAAACAAAAATGAAAATGAAAGTACTGTGGTAGTTCAGTAGGAGACCTATTTGACACATGGAATATACAGTACTAGTAAGAGGACAAGTTTGCATATACAAGAGCACAAAATAGTGGGGTAGGGGTCAAATAAGACAGGAAGTCTTTCTTCCTACGTTCACACATGGTATTTACCCTACTAACATACTCTTTGTATATAAATCTGTAGTCTAGCATATTACATTCTACGCATCCAGGAACTCTTAATAAGTTATTTCCAAAAAAAAGGCAGATGGGGGGTCAACTGTATTCAACCAAATAAAATGTTACCTGAGACATATGGTGCATGAACAGTAGAGTGGATTTTCCATCTGTCTTTTGCATCTCTATGTCTGATGCTGTCAGAGCAAGTGCAAAGCAATGCATCCTTCCTCTGCCAGCCTACTCACTTGTCCAGATGGATTTCTTTGACACCTATGAGAACTGGGTCCAATAATTAGCACACCAGAGTTGTCAAAGTTCCCTTTTGGGCTGTAATTCCCAGAATTCCCCCTGGCAGTACAACCAGCGATCAAACTGGCTGGACATTCTCAGAGCTGCACTCCAAAAAAGGAACTTTGCCACGCTCTGTGAAAAGTTGGTATTATGCTTTGAACTATTTTTTTTCTTTTTGTTGTTATTCCCAGGAAGCACATTCACTACAAACCACTCAAGTGTTTCACCACAGCTTTCCCTGATCCCACCCTGTTAGCTTTTGAGGGAACATCCATGACTTACAAAATCATTCTGCAGGAAGCAGCCTTCAACTGGCCCGCCTAGGACCATGATGTGTATTAGAAAAATAGGAGGCTCTCACAGAAAGGGGGGGGGCTGGAAATGTGCAACCCATGGGGACTACATGCAGCCCCAGTACTGTACTATTATTTTGTCCACTCCTGCTTTATCTGCATCTTGTCCTCTGCAGATGCTTGGGACATGTTGTATTCGTCTTTTAACAAATGGCCTGCAGCCAGTCAAATTATCCAAAGAATCAAGAACACCCACAGGAATGACTCAACACCTGAGATTTATCACTGGAGGCTTTTCTAAAGATCCCTCTTCCTGGATACTTTCAGTGGGCAGATATAGGGCAAAACCGTGCTGTGGCTGCTGACCAACCATGGAATCTTCTCCCAAGAGCATCTGTACCTAAGATTCCAAGGTAATTCACTTAAGCTCTTGATGGGTAATGTTACTTAATTTTCCAGGGATTTTCTGTTGGAGTTCAGGGTGTTGCTCATAAAATTGCTTTTGATACTACTTCCACCCCTGGACTTTACAGCCTCTTTTGATATTTAAATGTCTATATCATACTGCCTTAGTCTGGCACCCTACAAATATTTTGGATTGCAACTCTTATCAGTCCCATCAATCATGGATAATAATCAAGAATGACAGGGTTGTGGTCTAAAATCACCTGGAGGACGTCAGGCTGGAGAAGGCTGGTGTATAAACTGTAAATATTGTTTTATTTTTATTGTCTAACCACCTCAGATGATAACAATAGCAGAAAAGGGATACATGTTTTTTAAAAATTAAATTTAAGCAGAACTTAATCAAAAGGAGTCTTTACAAAAACCACAGGCTAAAAGTAAAAAAAAGGCTACACATAGTAAATACAGCCTCTCTTGCTCTATATTGCCAATCTTCACAAAATAAGTATAAATATAATTGTACAGTACCTTTCCATCTATTTTGTAACAGTTTTCTGAATTGACCATTTTAATAGTTTTGCCATCTATCCCCTGGAAGACATATAAAATATCTCTCACAAGATAAGCCTCAGTTATTTCAACAGAGCCTGAAAAGAGAGAAATGGATCCAATCACCAGCCAGGTATCTAACAAACGTGTTTGCCATTTTAACATAGACCTAACCATGTGATGGTCACTCCAAGGCAAATGTACAAAGGCCACAGTCTAGTAAATTGCAGCACAACTAACGATAAAATATTTAACTACAGTGGTGCCTCGCAAGACGAATTTAATTCATTCCACGAGTAGCGTCGTCTTGCGAGTAATCAACCCCATAGCCAAAACCAATCGTCTTGCGGGTTTTTCATCCCACGAGACATTCATCTTGCGAGGCAACACTGTATTAGGGTCTAAAACAGAAGTGGGCAATCTCCAGAGGCCACCCACTCCCATCCCTGGACTTCACAAAGCCACATGTATTTGTGAGGCCCATCTCACCCCCAATCTTTTTTACAAAAGTGTTTTCTACTGAACCCACTCAGCTTGCTTGCTTGCTTTCTACAGACACACACACTTTTTTTTAATGGAGGGCATGGGAACCCTGTAAAACATGGAAAACTCCTCCTGGCTACAAAGGGCACAAGAGGACTATCACAAAGGGAGTGGGGAAAAACAGGGGGTGTGAGATTGCTACATCTAGGCACCTGGAAGACACACGCTGCCCACTCCTAGTCTAAAACTTAGTCAGGAATTTGAACTGCAGCATCTTCCGGGATGTCAGATATTCCTTGCTACTTGCATGAAAACAGCCACCACATTTATGTAAAGACACCATACTTATCAATTACAGAATTCAGCCACTATTCATAACATGAGATCAGTAAACATGCCACTACCGGGCAGTGTGAAGCCTATCTGCTTGAATGCTTGACTAAGATAACTGTCATTACAGCCCAAACCACCACAACCAACAATCTCAAGAAAGAAACTCCTCCAAAGGTTTGAGTAGCTGGTTCAAGAAATGGTGTATGCCATGCTTGAGGCTTTTAGCAGTATTTCCAAACACACACATCAAATTCCTCCAGAAGTCTCATCAAATGGTTAAAGCTGCCCTCCTCAAGGATGCAAGATGGAGTGGGGGACAAGGACAATATGGTTGCTCGGTATGAGGTGGGGATCTGCCTAAATTGGAGTAATTCCCTCCCTCCCCTGCAACCCTGTCTCACACTGTTCAAATAAGCATCATGGCATCTCTGAAGAAACATTCCTAGGGCCACAGGAACGGAAGGAGAGGAGGGGAAGTTTTTCTTCTGTGAACCTTCCTTAAATTCAAGCCCTCAAGGCCTATATATTGAAATACTGTACTGTTATTCTTGGTCAGCATAGCTAACTCAAGCAGAGTTTGGAGGTTACAAACCTAGTAAGGAGAAAGCTAAGAGTTCTTTATCTGATGGTTTTGTTTGAAGGACAGACACAACAGGGTAGTAAACACAGACCTGAATTTTTCTCTTAACTTTGTGTTTAATTTTATTTTAAGGTGGGGCCAATGCTGTCTTCATGAATTGGGATAAATACAGAATTGCAGAACTGCTTTTCCAAACAGTTGAACACTGTCCCAAATCTCATGCATACGGAACAATAAATTCTTTTTAATATTGAGAAATTTAATTTACAAAATTCTCAGCAATAACATACATTAACTTTACATTCTTAAAGAATTCTGAATTCACATAGGAATTTACAAAAATCAAGCTGACTTCAAGTCCCGATTTTCTAGCATGGATTTAAGAATCAAGGAACATCAGATACATGTATTTATTTCCCTACAGTCATTGAAATTTTCAATACAGTGGTGCCTCGACTTACAACTGTCCTGACATACGACCATTTTGAGCTACAACCAGATCCGGCCGCAAAACTTTGCTTCAACTTGCGGCCGGAGCTTCAAGTTGCAAACAAAAGAGGCAGGGGAAAAAGGCTGAAAAAAGGTTGAAAAAAAATCAAATTACAGGACTAACCGTTGGCTGAAGAGTTTCTTTGTAGCTCTTTTGCCCGAACGGTTAGAGTGTGTGAATTTGCAGAGTGGTTTCGGACTGCCTGGTGCTGCATTCTGCTTCTGGGTGAGTACATTTACAGGGTTTTGCAGGGTGGGTTTCGGCTGGAGGAGTATGTTTCTGTGCTGTGATTTTTTGTGTGTGTTTGGTGTGGTTTTTTTCCAGCCCCATCGCGTGCCGATGGGGCTTGGTCTGTTTGTTGTTTTTCTTTTCAGCCCCACTGCATTCCGATGGGGCTGGTTGTGTGTGTGGAGGTTGATTTTCTTTTCAGCCCCATCGTGTTCCAATGGGGCTGGCTGTGTGTGTGTGGGGGGGGGATATTTTTTTGATTTTTTTTTCAGCCCCATCGCTTTCTGATGGGGCTGGCTGTGGGGGGGGGTTGATTTTTTTCAGCCCCATTGCGTTCCGATGGGGCTGGCTGTGTGTGGGGGGGTTCAGGCTATTGCATTTCAATGGGGCTGGCTGTGTGAAGGAGTGTTTTTTGAATTTTTTTTTTCCAGCCCCATCGCATTCTGATGGGTCTGGCTGTGTGTGTGTGTGGGGGGGTAATTTAAAAAAAAATTTCAGCCCCATTGCATTCCGATGGGGCTTGCTGTATGGTGTACTTTTGTGTGTTGGGGTGGTGGTGTTTAAATTATTATTATTATTTTCTGCCGGAACGAATTAATGGAGTTTCAGTGCATTTCAATGGGAAATGCTGTTTCGACTTGATGCATTTCAATGGGAAATGCTGCTTCGACTTGACAACCATTTTGAGTTACGACTGTTCTTCTGGAATGGATTAAGTTTGTAAGTCGAGGCACCACTGTATTTTTAAAAAACAGAAAACCCATTTGTTTTTCTTTATAAACCATCTTTAATTTAGAATATAAATTTATTTAATAGCAACTACATAATATAATGGCAGAATACAGCACTTCCTTCTGTTACATCTGCCAGCTATAATCAGTAAATGTTTTTTACTGGCACAACATAAACACAATCAATTAAGAAACAGAGATGGCTTTTTGCTATATTTGTAAGCCACTGCTGCCCAAGGTTTTATCCAAATTCTGTGGCACCACCATGTCAGCTGGGCTTTATGGATGATTATGCCTACAAATAGAGGAATTCATTCAATTGTCAAATATGTGGGAGGGTGATACATTGTTTTATATAAGACAGCTGCTTTAGAAACTTATGCAGAAAGAATATTTTATAAGGTCATTTACAATCCGATGTAACTTCCCTTCTAAATGAAAAACGTATCAACAATTTGATTAATGCAAGAAAGGATTATGATTTATTGGAATAATTTTATACCACACACTTTCAGTTGGTGCTCTTAATTACTTAGTGCTAAAGTGCCTCTGTTTGAAATACCTACAGAAACAAATCATGTTATCTTCTTCCTAATGCACAATATTGTTCCTAATTTTTAGCAACATGACGAGCCTCACATATCTGGTTCAAAAACCTAGCTGTTACCAGTGCAATGAGTCTGGTCTAATGCATTAAGAAAACCTACAAATGAGCAATTTTACATACATGTCAGAGAAAATGTGGCACTCACACCCCACAATTCCTGAAGCAGGGCATCTGCCACACTGAAGTTTTTGTTTATTTATTTCTATCCCACCTTTCTCCCCCAAAAGACCCAAGGCAGCTATTTCTTCTAAAGTCCAGTAAGACAGCAGGTAACAAGAACAATCTATTCACTGATAGTTGCAACATAAATTTTTGGAACACTGAAAGAGGTTTCTAAATCTAACATCATACTAAAGAGACGAAACAGTGGGCTAATTGGGTTCTGATTCTTCCACATACACAAGCAGTAGAGCATGTGTAGTCCTTACACTTGCTTCCATTTGTATCTTGCCAGGATGTCATGTTTTCTGCAATGTTCCTTTCACAATGAACGTGTGGCATATTTTTATGTTTTTGAATTTAAGTCACTTGGTCTATAAACCCAATAAACAATATATAACAAAATTTAGCACACCCATATACTCCCAGTAAAATTTCACCTTTTCTTTTAACTTCCTCTTTTGAGAGGATTTATCATACAGTGGTGCCTCAACTTACGAACTTAATCTGTAACAGAATGGTGTTCATAGGTCAAAATGCTCGTAAGTCGAAGCACCATTTCCATTGAAATGCATGGGAATGGGATTAATCCATTCCAGCATTTCAAAAAAATATATACCAACAAATAAAAATAAAAATAAAAATGAACAGAGCAAGCCCCACGTTGGGACTGCAAAAAAAGCCACAAAACCAAAAATAAACATTGGAGCAAGTCCCACGGTGGGAGTGAAAAAAAAAAACAGCCCAAACCTACCCTCCAAAACCCACCCAGAACAACTTTTTTAAAAGGAAAAAGTAGCACCTCACCAGTTCGAAGCCTCCTCAACCTCTCGGCCTTCCCCAATGCTGTGACCGCTGCCATCGGAGGCCTCCCGAGCGTTCCCCCCGCTGCCGCCTGAGGCCTCCCGGGTTCCCCACCGCCGTCGGAAGCCTCTGGCAGCGGTGGTCGCATCGGTGGGGAAGCCGGGAGGCGTCTGACTGTGGCGGGGAAGCCTGCGAGGCCTCTGGCAGTGGTGGTCACAGTGGTGGGGAACCCCAGGAGGCCCCTGGCGGCGGTCGTGGCAGTGTTGGAAGCCCAGGAGGCTGAGCCCAGCTGGGATGGTCTGGCAGCTCACCTCCCAGCGTCAGTGGCAGCAGCAGTGGAAGCCCAGGAGGCTGAACCTCCCTTTTCCTAAGAGTTGGGGCAAAAGAGCTACAAAGAAGCAGCCTCTTTGCCACCAATGGCTTGAATTTCCCGTCTTCCCCCTCTAGTTTTTTCTGTTCTTACATCGAAGCTCCGCTCACAAGTCAAAGCAAAATTTTGTGAGTGGAGCTGTTTGTAAGTCGAAATGTTTGTAGGTATGGGCCTTCGTAAGTTGAGGCACCACTGTAATTTGCTTTTGAAAACACACTTAGTATTCTTCATTTATTCAAGAAATGCATACCCTAGTCTCCTTTGGGTGTGTATACAATAGATGCATGCGTCTTTGAAACCTGGCCCTCAAGTTCACAGCTGCACAGCTTTTACATAAACTAATTATGCTATAATGTGAATGAAATATAACCAGTATTATTAACCTCAAGGTCTAAATTAGAAGTGATATATTGTCATATGATTCATTCCTGCTATCCATCCCTAACTCTTCATGTGCTAGGAACTGGCTTTCACAAAGATGTTCTTCCACCCACAAGCAAAAGAAAGACAAGTGCTGTCAGCTGATGGCTGAAAACACTAGGGTACATGAATCAATAGTCTCACTCATTATTAGGTAGTGAGTATTCCTTAGTACATGACATTTTGAAGACTGCTAATTCATCGGGTTGCCATAGTCAAAGGCGCCTTGACAGCATGTAACAACAGTAATCCCTACATTCCCCCAAAAATGCATTTTACAATTAGTTTACTCCTCAATGCCTGGACCTACTACAGTGGTGCCTTGCTTAACAATTACCTCATTAAACGACGAAACCGCTTGACGATGAAGGTTTTGCAATCGCTTTTGCGATTGCAAAACGATGTTCTAATAGGGAAAAATCGCTTTTTAACAATGATCGGTTCCCTGCTTTGGGAACCGATTTTTCGCTAGACAACGATTTTAAAGCAGCTCATCGGTGGCTCTAAAATGGCTGCCCGCTGTGCAAAATGGCTACCCGCTGTAATTTAGGACGGATTCCTCACTTTACAAGCACCAAAAATAGCCATCCCTATAGAGGATCTACGCTGGACACTGAGGTATTTAGCCCACTGGAACGCATTGAACCGGTTTTCAATGCATTTCAATTGGCTTTTTTGTTTCGCTTGACGAGGATTTCGCTTAACAGCTATTTCAACGCAATGAATTATCCTCATCAAGTGAGGCACCACTGTAAATGGATACAATGCTTTACTCACTAGCCTGGAGGAAAGCCTCACTTAACACAGTGGAATTTACCTCTGAGCAAATGTGTACACAGTTGTTCAGTTATAATCCTATACCTCCTGACCCAAATACAATGGTGTTATCCCTGGATCCCACTCCTTCTGCCAGAATCAGCATTACCCCTCCATCTTTCAGCCATTTTGGCTGCTTCATACAGCTCCATACAGCTAAGAAAGACAGTGTAGTAGATATATACACCATAGAGGACTGCAACAGGAAGGGAAGAAAGTCCTATTCTGCTGGCACTGAGTATGGAAATGCACTATTAGATATTAGCCATTAACTGGGAGTAAATCCCATTAAGCATAGTAGGGCTTGCTTCAACATAAATGTACAACACAGGATTGTACTATTAAATTATTTGTAGAATGCAAACAAAATACACTGAAGCAAGCAATCAAAATGTTTTTCCCACTTACTAACATAGTTATGGAACACAGGGTTTTCTAGGAAATTATATCAATTAGCACCAAAATCAAAAGTTGAATCAAAATAAATTTCTAGATTTATTCCCACTGAAATGAAACTGTACCCATTTAAACAGTACTTCTGAAGTAAAAACCAGGATGAAAGATAGAAAACAGTCAATGAAACGCAACACACTCACCACTTGTATCTCCTTCCCGTCTTGACCTTGGTAGATTACGTGAAACAGTGCTTGAAATGCCTTTTGAGGTAGAATTTGGTAATGTAGGCTGGCCTGCTGTTAAACTCCAAGCAAGCCGTGCCCCCAGCTGTTGCCGAAGGCAATCACCCACTCCCGCACGCTGATAGGATTGTCTAAGGAAAAGAAAGTTATGATTAATGTAATTCACTATTGAACTGTCTTAGTTACGAGAAATCAATTTATATTCTCTCAAAGTGCCAAAATTTAAAGGTTAAACACATATCACCTCCCCCAAAAAGCACGTGCATGAAATCTTGTTGTCAAAACCAATCATTTTTTTTGGAATTCATATCCATTAGTTCATTCGTTTAGTCCTTCAACTGTTACAAAGCAGAGAATCCCTTGAGAACTGCACTACTATACAAAGTACTGAAACCTGAACTGTATCAATACCATGGACTCTACAATAATGTCCCTGGAGGAGTAAAAAATAATTTTGACAAGGAGCAACGTTCTCATTCTCAAACATTCCTCTAACATGAATTAAAACAAAAAAAAATGACCCATGCAACTTCCATAAGTAAATGTTTGTCTTGTTCATAAAGTAATAAAATTACAGCATACTTTCCCCCTTTACTCCTTGAAATCTGGCCCAGGCATTTTACTTTCAATACACTGCAGAGAGGACAATGGGTTATACTATGTTTACTATGTACAAGATCTTCAACTTGAGTTGACCCACAAAAGACATGTATGTTCAAGGAAGTACCTATTTCCAGGATAGTGGAAGGCAGGAAATCCAACCAGACTCTCTACCGTAGTTCTGCAGCTATTTTATGCTGCATTATGATGCCTTGCAAGACAAAAACATAATTCATTCCGCAAGTCATTTCATATTGAAAAAATTTTGTCTTGCAAAGCGCAGTTTCCCACAGGAATGCAGTGAAATTTAATTAATGCATTCCTATTCGTCTTGCAAAGCACGGCCATAGAAAAAATTGTCTTGCAAGTCACCAAAAAAAATCACAAAACACTTTCATCTTATGAGGCATCACTGTATATATAGGGAGCATGCCTAAAAATTAGTGGTATTCTAGAAACTGACAGACCTTTCCTGTCTGACTTTATGAATACTCAAATAATCTCTGCCTCAATTGTTTTGCTCTTGCAGGCTTCATCCATGAACTCTTTACATAGCATTCAGAACAGCCTAACTGCAAAACAAAAGAGGAAATAAATCTTTCCCAACAATGAGTGTTCATTTCTTCTAAAGCAATTATAGTGGGGAAAACCTCAAAACTGCACCAAAGAGCAATGGACTTACCGCATAATATTCCCCAAAACGAAACACTTCAGAGAATCCTCGCTACTCCTTCAAAGGTTTAAATGCTATCCTTCCTAGTGTTTGTTCAACTTTGCAAACAAATTGTTTCTTAAAAAGCGAGCAGCACATAAATTTCTATAAAGGGAAAACTGCCAACTTCTTGTCCTTTCAGCATCCTCTTTGATGGGAGAGGAGATAAAAAGAAGTTACTTACCTGTAACTCTGGTTCTTCAAGTGGTCCTCTGTGAATTCACACTAATGAGCTTTGGAGGCAGAGCAGCTTCGGAAACTTTCACAGCTTTAAGCACTTAGTGCTGGGACCTCAGGGCTTTTTCTCTTAAAGACATAAAGTCTCTCTTATCTTTTTAATAAGGTTTCCCCCAGGCCTTAGAACTGAGGCATTAGTGCTGGGGGCGGAGTTATATAGCTGGTGTAGGGGAAGTCCCAGCACCAAGTGCTTAAAGTTGTGAAAGTTTCCAAAACTGCTCTGCTCGAGCGCAGATTAACCCATTAGTGTATATTCTGAAGCTGCTCTGCCTCCGAAGCCCATTAGTGTGTATTCACAGAGGCCACAAAGGAGAACATGACACCTCACTGCCCTTTAATGGGACATTAAAGACCGACATTTCAGAAGTCTTCTGAGACGGGGATTGCCTTCCACATAATAAATCTAAAATCCAGACCGACCAGGAGGAAGATTCAAAACTTAACAGTTTCACAACCACACAACACTTCTTAAGTGATCTTTCCTGAACTTTAAGACGCTATCAGTAAAACAACTGCAAACATTTCAGGCAAAACCCAAAGAAAAAAAAATTAAAAAATAAAATTGTAGCTTAAAGATTAACTGTTATATTTTAATGAGAGCTTTTGTGGACAAGTCCACTTCCTCAGACGATGGCGATTTCAGCAGCAGAGAAGCTGCCTGGTGGGGGAGAAAGGCGAGATCGGCTCCTGCCATTCTCCCCTGCTGCCTGGCTTCTCCGCTGCTGAAACCACCATCGGGGCAGCCCTTTGGGAGAAGCCAGGCGGCGGGGAAGAAAGGCAGGAGCCAATCCAGTCTTTCTCCCCCACCGCATAGCTTCTCCCAAAGCGCTGTGCCTGATGGTGGATTCAGGAACAAACCCTTCTTGAAGCTGGTCCCCCCTCTTTTTCTCCCCACACCAGATTGGCAGGATGGCACTGGAAGCCCAGGAGGCTAAGCCTCCCTTTTCCAAACCGTTCGGGGGAAAAGAGCTAAAGAAGCAGCCTCTTTGCCACTAACGGTTTGAATTTCCCGCCCTTTTTCCCTGCCTTTTTTTGGTCCGTACATCGAAGCTCCGGCCGCAAGTCGATCCAAAATTTTGCGGCTGGAGCTGTCCGTACATCGAAAAGTCCATAAGTGGGGCCATTCGTAGGTCGAGACTCCACTGTAAGTCAAGATCTTTTTGTTTACTTAAAAAAACAACATTTCTACCCCAGTGATACATTTTTACTGCCCTGCTGCTCTACATTTTTAGTTGTTTTAATGGTTTGTTTTTTTCATTGATACCTTTGTTTCTGCAAAAGCACTGTAAGAGTAGGAAAGATAGAATATAAATAACTTAAAATAAGGACATCAAATCAATCCATGACACCAAGCTCTAATAACAGCCACATTCTATTTAGGCTGAATTTTTTTGGACTGCAAGTCTTCACTGTTACCTCAACTGCTATTTATTGAAGCACATCTCTCTCAATGGTATCTGCAAGACGAACAAGTTTCATTTACCCTGGAAGAAATGACTGTGGAGTTGGTGCTGGCCCGTTTGGGGCATACATGCCTAAGCTGCTGATCCCACTGCTGCCCATACTGCCAGAGCTTGGGCCAGACTGGGCATTCCGGTCCTGGTAATTCAATGGAAGGGTCTGAGGCCTGGCGTAGTAGTAAGGAGTCGAGTGAGCATCCCGCGGCAGTGCTTGAGCAAAGAGTGTAGCAAAATTTGATACCTTGAAGTGGGAAGGAAAAGCCAGAGGTTTTAAAGCAATTCAGTGCTTACAAGTTAAGTAACTCTAAACATCTTTTGTCCCTGTCAGTTACTGCCTTTTACTGACTATGGATCTGTAACTATTTTAAATTGGTAAAATACTACTTATGCCTTTTTTATTTGCACAATTAATCCCAGTCATTCCAAAAACATTTCAGACAATCTTACTGATTTAAAACATTACCTAACTCTCTTACTCCACATGTCACCAAATCTCTACATGAAGAGGTTTCATGTATTATTATTTATTATTATAGTAACTGAAGAAGAGTTGTCTATACCAAACTGTCTCTAGGCTAAGATACTGTATTTGCTGGCGTATAAGACTACTTTTTTGCCCTGAAAAACATGCCTCCAAGTGGGGGCCCCGTCTTATACACCGGGTACACTTCAGTTGGGATACACATAGCTGCCCATAGTGGCCTTCCAATGCCCGCCTGGTGCCAATAGTAGCCTCCTGATGCCTGCCCACCTCATTCTACATACTGTTCAGTATCATGTGGTATCCAGCGCGGGCGTGGCGAGCATCAGCAGCGAGACAGGGGTGCCAGCCTTTTCGATGCGACCGGCCCGTTCTGTTCAGTGGGAAGCAGCAGCGCTCTGGCCTGCCCCTTGTCTACACAAAGCTTATACATGTGCACTTGCGCACTAGTGCCGGTCACAGGGAAATGCAGGGGTGGGCCAGAGGCGCTGTGGTCACGCCGCGGCCATACAATGAATAGCACCTTTTATTTGTGTGTGGAAGGTGTGCGGAAGAGGGGGTAGTCTTATACAGCGAGTATATAACAAACTCTATATTTTGAATGGAAATGTTGGGGGGTCATCTTCTACACCCAGTCGTCTTATACGCCGCCAAATATGGTAAGTTACCTAACTCTCTTACTCCACGTCACCAAATCTCTACATGAAGAGGTTTCATGTATTATTATTTATTACTATAGTAACTGAAGAAGAGTTGTCTATACCAAACTGTCTCTAGGCTAAGATAGTTAGAAACTAGGTTTCTTTTATATGTAATACTCTGATTTCTCTTCAGATCGCATAAATCTTTCGCCTTTAGATGGCCTTACAAAAATATCTGCTATTTCTATGAACAGACATCTAGGGAACAATTTCACTTTCTCTAACAAATTTACAAAGATGGGATTCACCATTAGCAATAGCTATAGCACTATCTCATTCTTTTTTTCACTCCTAATAATTTCATGTTTTGTACTAGGGCTTGAAACAACAGGAACTGTGCTGGGATCCTGACCACAATTTTGTTTTCTCCACAATGCCAATTACTGAGTGTTATTCTACAATATCATGGATGTGGGGGTGGGGAAGCAGCCACACACACCCCAACATTAGAGAAAACTGAATCATTGGACACTGCCATAGACTATTAATCCTAAAGGCAGCCTTAGTGACTGACTACAAATGAATTTATAAATCTTGGAAGTCTCCAACTATAAACACCAGATAGAAGATCTCAAGAAACTGGCCACAAAAGAGAAAATAATATATAGGAGGTGAGAGGCAGGCAAAAAAAAAAGTGATAGCCTATGGGCTGCTTTTTGAAAATTGTTTGGTGATTGATCTAGATGGATAAGGAACCATGAAAGCTACTAAACCTACATCAACTCTCCTGTCTCTCAGTCTTTCTCATGTTTGTGTCTTACCTGTCTCTGTGTACCTAAAAGTATAAATGACTTGTATTTTTAATCACTTGAAGGTATATGCACCAAACTATCAAAAAGGGTGCAACAGAGCAATGTTAGGAAGGAAGGGCTGGTATCAAAGATGGACAAGCTTGTTGTGATATTCTAATTTTCACCTATAAGATCCAGTCACAAATGTGACACACTTTTTGAAGAAAATGCTTTTTTAACACATTGACTGACAATGCTCAAAACCTTCATGGGATAAATTTCCATCACAACATTAATTTAGAAACAAACTCTTTCAGGAGTAGAATCCCAGATTAGGGATCTTCTCCCTAGGAAGACATGATAATGTATTTACTGACTACAGCTACAGCACAAAAGCTCTTTTTATTTACTCTGCCATGTTAAATCATTTTCATTTATTCTAACATATTTCACTTATTTTTGAAAGCTACCTTGAAATTAGTGATCATATTTAAAACAATATAGTATTCACCTTATTTGACTGTTTACGTGGATCTTCACTGAGACTGAGCAGGAGGTACAGAATTGACCATCTGTTTTTCAAAACGCCCTAGCAGAAGAGATTAGTATTAGACATGATATCACATTTGTAAAATGAATATTCACACATCTGTGAATATGCAGTGTATACTTTATAATTTCAGAGTAACATGGGCAGGGAAGAGAAGGCCTCTGTCTTTTAAAATTATTTACAGTCTGTTTTTAAATACTGTAACTGGGGAAAGGGTGACAGGGAAACTTGTCTCACTGTTGGTATGTCATTCCCCTACTCCCTAAGAAGTGGAGGGCTATGAAGCCACCAGCTCCCCAATAGAAGCAAGTATAGAAATACTAGAAACAGACCAGACTCTATCAAAAGCTTGGGGAAAAGGTCATCTTTAAAACCTGGCAACCCAATTTTTTGGCGGGGGGGGAGAAAGGGGGGGAGGAAAAGAGCAACTGATGAGGGAGGAGGCACTAATGGGAGGAGCAGAGATAAAAGGAGCAGGAGAGGGGAAAGAGAAGGGGAGTGGTGAAAGAGAAGGGGAGTGGTGAGGAAAGTCAGAACGGCAAACGGAGTTAGCTTTATGAAGGAGAAGCAATGAAAGGGAAGCCTGAGGGGGAGCCAGGTACAAGCTGAGGGAATCCTTCAGTCAGAATGACTTGAGAGATGGCAGTAGGTCATTAGAGAGAGAGAGAGAGACAGAGACAGAGACAGAGAGACAGAGAGAGACAGAGAGAGAGTGTGTTCTTCGAGTGGACCTCTGTATATAAGGATAATCATGGCGTAGGGCTGCAAGGTTGCTTGCTTGGCAAGCTGAAGTAACTGCAACAAGAAAGGCTGTTTTGAAGGCAAGTAGATGGATATCTGCTGTAGCTAGCAGTTCGAATGGAGGTTTAGCAAGTTGTCGCAAGACTAAGGTGGTGTAAGAAGCACCATTCCCATAGTCAACCGCCAAATAGAGGAGGGTTGGGGAGTGTGTGCCTCCTTGTTTGAAAATATAGTACATGGCTGTGGTGTTGTCGGTGGCCAGCTAGAATGTTTCTGAATGCTTTGCATGCCTTTATTACTGCTAATAGTTCTAATTCGTTGATGTGGAGTGAACGTTCTCTGCGGGACCAATTGGCATGTATTTTGAGAGAACCGCAATGCGCTCCCCAGCCAGTAAGGCTGGTGTCGGTTGTGACCTGTATTTGAGGACGTGGTTGCTGGAAAGGGCGTCCCATAGAGAGATTTGGGATGAAGTGCCACCATTGGAATTGTGAGGCGAGTTCAGGAGTAACTCTTAAAAGAGTGTTGGGAGGATCTGTCAGTGGGTCGAAAAGTGTGAGAAACTACGATTGTAGAGACCTCATCTTCAGGCATATGTGTTGTATGACTAAGGTCATGCAGGTCATGGTGACTAGTATACGCTGGACGAGGATGGCAGGAACCAAGACATGTGGGGTGAAACCCTGGAGGAGGGAGATGAAGTTTTATTGTTTGTCGAGCGGGAGGAATGCATGAGCTCGGGCAGAGTCTATGAAAGCCCCGATATAATGAATAATCCTTGTAGGGCTGATTTTGGATTTTTGCATGTTGACCGTGAGACCGAAATTGCCAAGGAGGGATAAGGTGAATGGGGTGTCTTGGTGAGCTCTGTGGTGGGAACGAGCTACAAGGAGCTAGTCGTCTATATATGGGAAGATGAGGATTTTTTGAAGTTCCAGAAAGGCAGCCACTGGGGCCATGCACTTGGTGAAGACTCTGGGAGCTGTTGCAAGTCCGAAAGGAAGTCTTTTGAATTGGTAGGCTCGAGGCCTGAGTTGGAATCGAAGGGAGGGGTGGATGAGATGTGGAAGTATGCATCTCGTAGATCTATGACTTTGAACGACTCATTTTTTCTGAGAAGAGGTAGAACAGATTCGAGGGCTACCATATGGAATTTTGTGGTGATGACATATTGATTGAGTTCTCTGAGGTCTAGAATAAGTCGTAAACCTCCATCCTTTTTGGGGATTGTGAAATAACAAGAGAGAAAAACGTTTTGTTGTACAGTATAGGTTCTATTGTGTCTTTGATGAGTACATTTTTTAAAATCTCTTCTTGTAGAATTTGGCACAGTGGACTGATGATATGATGGAACAGAGGGGGTTGATGGAAATGGATGCGGTATCTGTACATCATTTCGATTGCAGGGGACCGGGAACTAGATCGGGAGGAAGCTTTCGCTTTCCAGAAGGCTTTGATGTCAAAGTTTTCGATACCAGCTGTTTAGAGCTGTGTGTCTTAGAAGTTTTCTAAGATGACGTGGAAGGAGCATCAGAGTGAGAAGGAGTAGCGGAGGAATGATGTTTTGATGATTCTGCAATGGCTTTTTCCATGGCTTTGGCTTGTGTTTTATACATTTATTGATTGATTGATTTGATTTGATTTGTATCCTGCCTATCTGGACTACCAGACCACTCTAGGCGGCTTCCAGTATATAGTTTGAGCCATAGGTTATGCCGGTTGCAAAGACTGTTCTCAGAGGCAGAGTTTGAGAAGATAGGTAAGAATGGAGGACTCCTCGCTTGAAGTTTTTACAACGAGGGCACGATGAGGTTTGATGTGCCATGCCTAAATAAAAAAGGCACTGTGCGTGAACATCCAATAATCATGTAATCCCAAATCACACAGTGCTTGAACGGGCCCAAAGGGGCCATGAAAAATAAAGAGAACAAAAAGAAAAATCGGAGCAAGGGGGGGTGCGACAGCCTGAGGCCGAGGCATAGAGAAGAAAACTAAAAACAGTTCGTATATGTATCTTTGATTAATAATAAAGAGGAAAAATTTAAGTTCAGCAGTAAAAAGTACTTGTTTCACTTTCAGACTCACAGAAGATAGACATACAAGGCTCTTCAACGTGGTAGTTTGAAAGAAACTGAAGTCCTGGCACCAAGGTACTTATACCGAGGGGAGGGGTCTATTCTAATGTGTTTTTTGCTACTGCAGAAGCTCTAGAATAGTTCAAAGAAGCTCCGCGCAGGTGCGCAACACCCACAGTGTGATTCACAGAGGCCACAAAGAACCCAGGTGAAGGCTTCTGGGGGGGGTGCAGTCTAAGAACACCTGGGTTACTCAAGCTGGGGATCCATTATTAAAAGCCACACAACAGATTTGACTATTAAAGTCTTTGATCCCACTGATTACCTATTTACCCTGGTCAGATGGTGGCGCTGCTGAAGCAGGATGGGAGGGTTGTGTTCATAGTGCTGTTTCAATTAACAGCCTATTGAAACTATGTAATAAAACATGGATGTAGAGGGAGGATTCCTACTAATACGCATTTTTTCAACAATTTACTCTTAGTTGATTCAGTTCTAATTTTTTTACAACTGTGTTTAAGCAGGTATTCTATCATTCAAGGAAGCCAGGTCACTACTGAGCTCATGTCTCTATAGGACAATGTCAAAGAATAACTTGTTTTCTTGCAATATATAAACTTTGTTGAACTTCACAATCAAAACTCATGCATAATTTTTTCAATTAAGTGTGTTTTCAGAATCCTAGAATTCAAGTACAGAAGAGACGGAACTTTGGTCATTTAAGAGACCAAAAGAATGTCTGATCAATAAGTCAATATACATTAACTTAAAAATAGACAGTGGAAAGAAAAGTTTAACATAAAAAGTAAAACACCTTTTTTTGCTGATCTGTATCCTTCTGATAAAGAGTCACTGATGGAACTAAAATAAATTCTGGTTATACTTTCCTAATGTTCATGAAACAAATAAGTTTTTAGTGTTTTACAGGACATGAGACTGGAACATATGGAAACATAACACATTTTCAAAATCCAAATTTAAACAAAACCACACTTGTGGTAGTAATTACAACACTATTAACAAGTTCCTACCACATTGATTACGATTACTATACCTGTGACTGAAGTTTTCTGTACAGCTCTGAAAATACAGCAGCACTTTCTTCCCTTCCTTGCCGCGCAACTAAAGAAAGAAAATATGTACTAGTTCGCTGCGAAACTATGTGTGATATTAACTTTAAAATCAAAAATTATTTTACTGTGTGTGGATATACTAAAGAGCCCTAATTAGGCCAAAATCCTGTTGCACAATTTGTATATGCATAAAGGCGGATGATGTCATGTACTGTGGACTTTAAAGTTTCCTATTCCCCACTTCAGGTTCAAAGTCTCCCTATGCACCCTTTTCAGAAGGGAGACACATTTGGGAGCCTCAGGACAGAGGAGAGGAGATAAGAAACTTTAAATTCAAGGTTAAAGGCTGTGTTTGATGACAACATCAGGTTTTACAGCTACACAGGTGTGCAACAGAATCCCATCTAATGAGTTCTTTGAATAGTACTGGTATGGGTACTGACTGCTTTGCTTCTTTTTACAAGCCTGTTCATTTATGCCAGCAAAATGACTTGTGATCTAATATCAAACCTCACTTCTTGCAAGAACATTTCCCAAATTGAATATTGATTTTAGGTAAGAAATTCATATCTACACAATCACCATGTTAGTTGCTCTTTGCCTCCTTTTATGTGCACAGGGTACAGTTTGTTCTTACTGCAAGACACACAACAAATATAAACCACATTCCAATGAGAGTTCTGGTTTATTGGTAACCATTTCACTGGTCTAGTTTTGTACAAGACAGAGGGCAAGAACACGGGCTTTCTATACACAAGCAGCGTGCAGGTGCCCGGTTGCTTCTGCTTGCCTCAAGGTTTATTCAGCATGTTAGCTGAACACAAAAGCAGCTTCTTCTGTTTTGTCTCTCTCCCAGCAAACCAGAGAAGGAAACCTAAAAAAGGTCTCTGAGTAGCTGGAAGAGTAAAAAACTAGTGAAAACTGCACCTGTATTCAGAAGACACGGTAAAATTATAGAGAATGCAACCTTTCAACTTGGATTCTTATAGACGTCTGGCTTATCAGATATGTCTTTTTTTTCTAACGTATGAAAACTGTTGTACAACAAAGCTAACAACATCTCTTTCAACACATGCCAAGAAGCAGGCTGGTCTCCAGAACAAGACGTGTGCATGTATCTTTTATCATAACCCACATTTACATAAAACTATAAGCCAGTGTAGGCTATGGTTGCAATCCTACACTCAAGCATGGACAATTGATCTAAGAGTCTCCTGCATACCTTACAACATTTCCTTGTATTGCTGATAATACTATAGAGCACTGGTTCTTAACCTTGGGTTACTCAGGAGTTTTGGACTGCAACTCCCAGAAGCCTTCACCACCAGCTGTCCTGACTGGGGTTTCTGGGAGTTGCAGTTCAAAAGCATCCGAGTAACAAAATCACGCATATCTGCAGTACAATGCAAAGACTGCTAACATTTTGTAAAAGAGTACTAAGGCAGACTTCTATCACAAGAATCCAAAGACAGGCAGCATTTCCAATCTTCTGGAAGGTCTAGATGTGAATACTGTTCAAACAAAGAAACAAACTTACGTTCTTTTTTAATTTTTTCTGCTACAAGAAATTCATCTCTTTCAACAGTAGGGGCAAAATTGCTTCCAATGACCCGCACAGCATACTGAAACTGCTGGGCTACATCAGCTGAAATGAAAATCACAGTCAGTGAATGATTAGTACAATTTTTTCATACAGTTCACACACATATACATACACATGAACTAAACAGAAGAACACATACAGCTTTTAACAACCAGGCACCTGTAACAGAGTAAGATGCTGAAAAGTCCTCTTACACAACCAATATGGAAAATTCACTATTTTAGACATCTCCCAGAATACCCTGGCCAGCATGGCTTCATCCCTTCCTTCATATTGTTACCTTCAACAACTGAGTCTAATGGCCAAAAATAATTTTTCTGACACATTGGAATACCTTGCAAACAGTCAGTAGATCTACAAAAAAAGATGGTGGATTAGTTCAACAGCTATACTACAAAGCTGAAGAAGCATGAAGTCCATTTATAGGCATCTCATTTATACACTGCACCTAACCAGGCCAATGGACCAGAACATATCAACTACAAGGTGGGAAACACTGTTCCCCTCACCAACCACATGGCTAAGCATGGATAACCCCCCACCCCCGAAACACTCTGAACTCAAACATTCAAAAAACCTTCAGAGATTTTACAGGGCTTGATCTGAACTCTTTGGAAGCCCAGCTTCTTCTCAATTCACCTGCTCCGTCCCTGCATTGTTCCAGCCACTTCCTCCTCTTTCAGCAGAAAGAATCTTTCACTTGGGAAAGGGGATTGAAAGGAAGGGGAAGGCAGTGCTGTGCCAAACAGCAGCATTTGTTGCAGGGGCAGATTACGGGCCTTGAGAACAACACCCAGAATCTCCAGTTGCAAATCACACAGGAAGGTGCAACCTTAAACTGAACTGAGGCAAGATCAGAAAGGAACGGAAAGGGCCACTTTAATCTGGTAGTAGCGTCTACTTTTTCAGTCACCCCCTCCTTCCAATAATCATGGTAGATTTACTGATGTCAAAAACAAAGACAGCAAGCACGAAGCATAAACTAAGGTAACATCTTAGTAGGATGCATATCCAGAGATGTAGTATGAATTGGAGGTGTTGATATTTGTGGTTTGGACTACAACCTCCAGAATTCCCCTAGGGCAGACATAGGATATATTGCATTTGTATCCATGGGTATAGGAATATTAGCACCACACGTGCCTGGGAAGTCCAATCCCACCCCCAACTGGCAGATTCAGTTACTGGTTGCCACATGGTGTGCGTCCAGTGTCATTCCCATCGCACTAATTGTGGAAGTAGCCCAGCCAGCACTTTCCCACCTCCTTGTGCAGCCGACTCCTAAACAGCTGAGTGGGGAGACTCATCATACAGCCTTCTCACCAGAGTGGTCAGCTTCACCAGGGAAGTGCCAGCCAGACTACTTGTACCTTAGGTCGTCTTAAAAATGAAAAAATATGGTACACACACACACAAAAGCCTGGTTTTCCTATTTGTTTTCCCCCAGGGGACAGAGAACTTTAAAAGTATTAACTCACTGGGAAACATTCATTAAAATGAGAGCTGAACATCTTAATTCCAAGAAAAGTTGCAAGTAGGATATAAATTAAGTACAGGATTAATTTTAAAAGCTAGTTAGAGACAATCACAAACCTACTTGCTGGTTTGTATTTCATCTATTTAAAAAAAGAACTGTGATAATATTAATATGTTAAGGTGGTGTAGAAGCTCTTATGAACAGTTCTGTGTAAGATTTCCAAAGACCTCAAACATTATTAAAGACCATTCCAATCTATATGTGCTTAAAACAAACAACAAAGTCAGTATGAAGCAAGCATATTCTTTAAACAATTTTAGTAATATAAATCAAATACAGTATGCTTTTCTATTAGTTACTATATACCAGGTTCCTTTAATGCTTAGTGGGGAATTTTCCTTTAACATTTTATTTTTTTATGTACACGCCCTTCTCATCTCTTCCACTAGCAAGTATTTCTACTCAGAATCAGACTATTGAACATACACATTTCAAAGCCTAGGAAGAGGCTGGAACGAAACCTTTGTGAAAATGTAGAAAAACTAATAAGAGGCTACAATAGAGAGCAGTAAAATGGAGAGGAACCAAATGGAGTGGGGAATCCCCTAAATCAGGGTGCTTTATAGGGAGTTCAAAGAAAAAAAATTATCTTAAATCATGTTGATAAGTGATCTTTCCTCTGAATGAAACCACCGGTAACCAGTAAACTTAACGATTCCATTTAAAACTAGAAGTACTGTTTGCTGATGAGACTTTAGAAAAGCTTAGGAAAACATGAGCTCCTAAGTCAAGAAATCCAATTTCCCATAGCCTCAAGCATGCACCATCTTATCTTCAAAGGAGAAGAGACAAGGGAGAATATTCAGTTAGTCAACCCTTGACTTACGAACATCCCTAGATATGAACTTTTCGATTTACGAATGGCTCCGTTGGCAAAAATTGGCATCAACTTGTGAACGGAGCTCGACCTATGAATGAGGTCGAGGCTCCATTCGCAAGTCAATGCCATTTTTTGTGAACGGAGCTGTTCGTAAATGGCTCCCTGCAAAAAGGCAGGGAAAAAGGGCGGGAAATTCGAATTTCCAGCCCTTTCTCCCTGCCTTTTTGCCTTCAGAGTGGCTTCAGAGCTCTCGAAGGACTTTCTCCGATGTTGGAGGGAAAGCCCTTCGAGAGCTCCGAAGGTGGCAATCATGGCGGCGGGGACCCCCAGGGAGGTCTCCCAGAGCTTGCCCACCACCACGGGAGACCTCCCTGGGGGTTCCTGCCGCCACAATCAGTGCCTTTGGAGCTCTCAAAGGGCTTCCTCCGATGTCAGGCGGAAAGCCCTTTGAGAGCTCTGAAGGCAAAAAGGCAGAGAGAAAGGGCTGGAAATTCGAATTTCTCCTTCTCCTTCCAAAATTGTAACGTTTCTTGTGATGGTGCTCTTCCTTTCCCCTCTATTACTGCATACTTAATAAAATCTCCCCACATTTCTGCTAAAGTATGTCTCTTAAGCACTCCTTCTTTATTTTAATATTGCATGTTAAATTGTCATTAATAGCTATATTCCATACCTCTGTATACCATTCACTTAGCAGAAAATTATATTTTATTTTCCAATACTTGGCTATAATTAATCTAGCAGCTGTGACTAAATTAGAAATTCATTCTATAGTTGCCCAATTATGTGCTCTGATATTGTAAGTGTATTTTAGTAGTGATTTTATTTACCATTTTCAATATAATAGTTGCTCGATTATTTTTAAATATGTGTATACTTACTGTTTTTAGCTATTAAATATTCTTTTTTTAATTATGTAAGCCACCTTGAGTTGTTTAACAGAGAAAGGTGGGATATGTATCAATCAATCAACCACGGGGAGCTTTCTTCCTCTACTTACTTGAGCCTCTGCTTTGCTCCCTTTCCTCCCACTTTTTTTATCTCTGTCAGATTTTTACGTTGCAAGCTCCTCGGTGGAGTGGCCCATTCTCTGAAATATTGTGGACTCTGATATTATAGCAACATATGCAGTGACAGCATAATAATAATAGTGTACCATCAAGTCAATTCTGACTTATGGCAACCCCTTTCAGAGTTTTCTAGGTTGAGAGTGCATGTGTGTGGTCCGTACTGTTGAGCTGGAAATGATTTATAGTGACCCTTATAGGGCTTTCAAGGTAAGTGAGATATTTAAAGAGTGGTTTTACCAGTTCCATTCCCCCAGTGAGTTTCCAGGGCCAAGTTGTGATTTGAACCCTTTTTTCCAGAGTCCTAGTCCATCACTTTATCCATTACAGCATACTGAGAGTATATACTATACCACTATTGACACTACAATAAAGAGAGATTATTATAACTATGAATGACTAGCCCTATAAAGATGAAACTCTCTCCATAGCTTTACAATGCCTTTTAAAGTATTTTCAACTAATTTAGCACATCACCAAAACCTCATGAGATTTTTTGTGTCATTTAAGGGATATTCTATTCCTGTGGTCTAAAATACAATCTCATCAAAACAAACAAAATCATTCTCTGACTTAAGGCACAGTTCTAACTAGCAATGGGATGTGGTGGCGCTGCAGGTTAAACCACAAAAGCCTCTGGGCTGCAAGCTTGAAAGATCAGAAGTTTGAATCCACGTGACGGAGTGAGCTCCCGTCGCTTGTCCCAGCTCCTGCCAACCTAGCAGTTTGAAAGCATGTAAAAATGCAAGTAGATAAATAGGTACCACCACGGTGGGAAGATAATAGCATTCCGTGTCTAGTCGCGCTGGCCATGTGACCACGGAAACTGTCTATGGACAAATGCTGGCTCTATGGCTTGGAAATGGGGATGAGCACCGCCCCCTAGAGTCAGACACAACTGGACTAAATATCAAAGGGAACCTTTACCTTTGCCATCTAACTAGCAAAGTTGCTCACTGGAAGGACAGATCCTGAAGCTGAGGCTCCAATACTTTGAAAAGACCCTGATGTTGGGAAAGTGTGAAGGCAAGAGGAGAAGGGAACTTCAGAGGACGAGATGGTTGGACAGTGTCATTGAAGCCACCAACTTGAATTTGACCCAACTCCAGGAGGCAGTGGAAGACAGGAGGGCCCGGCATGCTCTGGTCCATGGGGTCACGAAGAGTCGAACACGACTTAATGACTAAACAATAACAAAAGCAAAGATGGCTCACGGCTGGCTGAGCTGACACTAAGCCAGTTGAGGTTGTGTGAATCCAAACTCTTCCAAACCTAGGGACAGTGGAAATTATTCGCGACTACCCTGACCCAAACCTAACTTTATGCTGGCATAGTGGATGAGACTCTGTGCTAAGAGGAGTTTTGGTTTGGCACAACGCAGCTCCTTCCAGCTTCTCTCCTTTTCCATTCCTTTTTTTTTTTGGGGGGGGGATAAATTCTGCTGCCTGATCTTAGTCAGCACAGATGTTCTGCTGGAAGATTTAAGATGAGCCAGCAACAAGGATTCTGCCAGCACTAAGGGCTTCTGCCCATTCCAAACCCACTTCAGACAGCATATCTTTGAGCATGGATTATACAGCCTTTCAAACACACACTGTGAATAGCGTAACCAGACAAAAAAGAGGACAGGGTTCCTGTAACTTCAATAATTGTTTAAAAGACGACATTTCAGGTGTAGCTTTTAATGTAAGCCACACCCGCTGCAATGTTCTCCTTCACACCACTTTTAAAAATACAAGAATCCTTTCCTGGTTTTCATTGCTAACAGTGCAGAACCTACTTTGGTACAACATCAGCCATGAGTTCTGTAACTCAGTCATACTATGCAGGGCCCTTAAGGCAAACCGAGAACATTTTGATAGAAAACATTGCCTGTGGAGTTATAATTACTAATACACATCCTTAAGCACTTTCTTTTCTAAGTACACAGCCAGTGCATAATTAAGATGCAATTCTGCTAGCATTCACGTCAATTGAATAGTTCAGAGTATTCTCAAGATTGTTTAAAAGAAATCAAAATATTGTATTTTAAAATACACCTTCCTAGATATCATAGCTACAAATAAAATTACCAGTAAAGAAAAAAGCTCAGGTCAAACAAAAGGGAAACAAAACAATATATCAGCAGGCGGAGTTATTCCGTATAGTGTGGGACCTATCCAGAATTGGTCTGAGTGATGGGCCTCCCCCTAGTTTCTCACCTGACCAGTTTGCAGCCTTTTAAAAATCTAAAGTGGAGGCCATCCGCCGGGAGCTCTCTCCTTTTTTAAATACAGTGAGTCGAGCAGAGATGTCCAGCGCTCCGTCTTGCCCGGTGATTCTCAATCTTTTTCAGCCTGTGACACCACCTCTTCCCTTGACCCTTGCCCAGCCTGACTAATCAAAGCAACCAGGCCTATAACAACCGAATGGGCCACAGCAATAAGCTCTAAAGTGGAGGCCATCCGCCGGGAGCTCTCTCCTTTTTTAAATACAGTGAGTCGAGCAGAGATGTCCAGCGCTCCGTCTTGCCCGGTGATTCTCAATCTTTTTCAGCCTGTGACACCACCTCTTCCCTTGACCCTTGCCCAGCCTGACTAATCAAAGCAACCAGGCCTATAACAACCGAATGGGCCACAGCAATAAGCGTTCTGCCCTCAAGGAGACACTCATTAGGCCCACAGGGAAGAAACCTAATTTGGCGGCGGATGAAATAGGCAATTATAGGCCCGTGGCCAATGTTTCTTTCATGAGCAAAGTGGTCGAGAGGGTGGTGGCTGACCAGCTTCAGGCTCATTTGGATGAAACAGACGCCCTGGATCCATTTCAGTCGGGCTTCAGGCCACACCATGGTACAGAAACGGCATTGGTCGCCCTGCATGATGACCTGTTGAGGGAGGCTGACAGGGGTAAAACATCTCTGTTGGTCCTCCTCGACATCTCAGCGGCTTTCGATACCGTCGACCATGGTATCCTCCTGGGGAGGCTGTCCGAGTTGGGAATTGGTGGCCATGCGCTTGGATGGCTCCGATCCTTCCTCGGGGACCATCCTCAGAGAGTACAGCTTGGGCCCCATGGACCCTCAGTTGTGGGGTTCCGTAGGGCTTGATCATTTCCCCAATGCTGTTTAACATCTATATGAGGCCACTGGGTGGGGTCATCAGGGGGTGTGGGGCATTGTGTCATCAGTACGCTGATGACACCCAGCTCTACATCTCCTTTTCATCAACTGCAGGAGATGCCGGCACTGCCTGGGGGCTGTACTGCAATGGATGCAGGAAAATGGGCTGAGGCTGAATCCGGACAAGACGGAGGTCCTGAGGGTGGGTGCCCCCACTGTTGGTGGTTTGGGAAACTCCCTCTCGTTTGGGGAGTGACTCTTACCACAGAGTGGGGTTCGCAGCTTGGGGATCCATCTGGACCCGGCGCTCACCCTGGAAACTCAGATGGCGTCGGTGGTCCGTACCCTTTTTCCATCTTCAGCGGATAGCCCAGTTGCGGCCCTATCTTGAGGTGGGCACGCTCACTACCCTGGTACATGCTCTCATAATCTCAAGATTAGACCACTGTAATGGGGCTACCTTTGAGGTTGTTGCGGAAACTCCAAGTGGTGCAGAATGTGGTGGCCAGACTCCTTAGTGGAGTGAGAAAATACCATCATATTTCTCCTATTCTGGCCACATTGCACTGGCTGCCTATTCGGTTCTGCATTGACTTCAAAGTTTTAATGCTTACGTATAAAGCCCTATACGGTTTAGGGCCTCAATATTTGGCGGAATGCCTACTCCCACCAAGATCTACCCATATCACCCGATCGAGTCAGGAGGTGAGGCTGAGGAGCTTGACGCCAAGGGAAGCCTGGAAGGAAAAAACAAGAAACTGGGCCTTCTCGGCGGTAGCTCCTCGCCTCGGGAACAACCTTCCTCCAGAGATTCATGCAGCCCCTTTGCTGGGCATCTTTAAAAACCAATTAAAAACCTGGATGTTTATGCAGGCCTTCCCTCCAGTTAATATCTCTTCTTTATATATTTTTGTTT